AATTAACACATTAAAATAATATAAAAAATTAATTTAAAATTAATAAAATTAAAAGCCACGGAGAAACTACACCACGGGCATGAATAGGCCATCTGGGTCCGGGTACACGTAACAAAGGACGGAGAGGTACAGGAGAGAAGAGTGCATGCTGACTTGTTCAAAAGAAATTTTGTTGGACGAGAAACGTTATTTTATACAGCTGTACAATCATCACAGGACAAAAATAATCTTCTCCTTGCAACCGCGTAGAAGTTTCCACAGTCTGCCTTCTCTCTCTCGCATTTCACTCGGCAAATCCATCGTCTTCCCTCTTTTCCCTTCAACAAGGTCATTATATAAGTACATGATGCATGCTTATACAGCTCAGGCTGACAACGGAACAAGACACAAGAACAAGAACAAGTATGGAGGAACTCCCTCTAGGTTACCGCTTCTACCCAACAGAAGAAGAGCTGATCTCCTTCTACCTGCATAATAAGCTGGGAGGGGGGAGGCAAGAAAGTCTACAACGTGTTATTCCAGACATCAGCATTTACGACATCGAACCATGGGATCTTCCAAGTAAAAAACCGCACTTAAATTTGTTCTATTTTGTTTTACTAATGATAAACTAGGTAGAAGAATGCTAAAATGCTCGCGGTAGAAGTTGAGTGGTGACTTTCGTTTGTCTCTTGCACCATGTTGCAGAGCTTTCAGGAGAACTATGTCAGGCAGACACCGAGCAGTGGTTCTTCTTTACACCCAGGCAAGAGAGAGAAGCTAGGGGAGGGAGACCTAACCGGACTACAGCATCCGGGTACTGGAAGGCCACAGGCTCTCCTGGTTATGTTTACTCGTCGGACAATCGTGTGATTGGATTGAAGAAAACCATGGTGTTCTATACGGGAAAAGCTCCAAGTGGAAGAAAAACCAAATGGAAGATGAATGAGTACAGAGCCATTGAAGTTCACGAATCTTCTAGCAATGCTACTCCAAAGGTGTGCATGCATGTATATGATCTTTTAGTTTTTTGAATTAAAAAGATGTACCTGTCATGCAACATGCAACCGTTTTCCATTAATTACTAACCACCATTTGGATGTCCTCCGATTCCTGAATACAGTTGAGGCATGAATTCAGCTTGTGTCGAGTCTATGTGGTATCAGGAAGCTTTCGTGCATTTGATAGGCGGCCACTAGAAGCTGTGACAAGAGAGACGCAGCTTCATGGAGAGGGAGCTACAACATCTGCTCGGGGCCCTGATCCAACTGTGGATATGACAAGCTCACCTGAAACGTCATACTCATTGGAAGACCATGTTGATCACCCCTGGACTGCAGCAAGTGCCAACTGGGGGGCAGTAGATGGTCTAGAACCACCTGCATGGGAATGGCCAGGACAACTGGATTGGCCCTGAGAAAAAGCAAACGTAGATTTGTAGCCCAGTCCCATAAGACTAGGTAGTTGTCCTCAGATAGAATTTGCATGCATGGCCTTACCTTACCTTCAAATGTAGTAAATTCTTTTTTCTTCATGTAACATGAGGAAAGATAAAAAATAAATAAGAAAAGGGAAAATATTCAGGATATGTGAAATAGGAGACTTAGGATTCAGTATGAAAACTAAGTTAGGCATATTAACCAAGAGAATTACTAAGTGTAGGAGAAGATGTCATTCACAGGCTCTAATCCGTAACCTGTTTCAGATTCAAATTAGAATGAAAGCGTCTTTATCAGTTTGAAGATGTCATCATCTTATTTTCCTCCAATAAATCCCAGAACTTTTAAATTCAAAAGCATAACTTGGAGGCTCGGAATCAAGGGAACTACAGCAAGAAGAAATAAAAATGTAAAATATGATTAACGGTTACCAAGGAATGCCATATATATATATACATAGTTGAGCACTTGAAAATTTTAGACAAGGAAAAGAAAAGGAGACGCAAGAAGACAAGGCATTGGCAACTGGACTTGACATCCGATGTCTTCAACAGAATCAAGAACAAGCACAAATAGTTAGAACTTATATAATGATTACTACATGTAGACCAGTAATAAGACATTTTTTTGATACCATCAAGTATTTCGTGTATACTGAGACAGTATACATTTTTGTCCTTCGTAGGGAACTGAAAACACGAAGTAGATGCCATTCCAGCCTTGAGCACATCAGAACATGTAAGTCGGTTCACAGTTGAAGTTCAACAAAACGAAGTTTTACTCCCTAATAATTAAAGCAACTTCGTTAGAAAATTCACTTCCATTATTTTACATTCACAGTGATCAACAGTTGTGGTCGTAACAATAATCAAGAGGTAGTAATTAACGTTTGTAAAATTCTCTGCCTTCAACGCAGGCATGAAAATTAATCAAGTATCACAGAGACCATCTGCGCCATCTCCATTGTTTGGTATTATCTACGATAAAATGCTTGTAATTAAGCATAACATTCACCAAATATGAAATAGATATCACCCAGTCAATGGCATAGAGTTGAAGTGGGAGAAATGACTTCCTGCCACGGATTGCACTCGAATGAGATTCCACGTCAGTTACTGACTTGTTTTCTGTCAGGAAAGTAACCCACCCTCTCCATGATTGAACTCTTTTTATTTGGCAGCCATTTCTTGATTGATATTCGGTGACCTGCATTTTGGCATCTCCGAACCCCACCGTGTGCACTTTTTTGGCTCACCATGCTATGCAGCAGAGCAGCAATCTTCCATCCATATTACTTTATTCCAATATGCTTAGTGCACTCAATGGCTCACATGATTAAGCCCCTCAAGCTTAAGCCACGCATGCAACGTGCCTATGCATCTCATGCTAAGCATATGACAGAAACTCGATGCACCCAGCTGAAATGACATGTTGTCTTAGCATATCACCATTACCAAACACCATACCATATCTCCAAGGAAACAAGTATCACATTATGTAAGACTTAAAAATTTCCTGGAAACATTTCAGCTTGTTGAAAGCCTCCTATAAGCACACTCACATTCAATCAACCTTTTGTAACAAGAATGCCATCGTATGAATTCTTAACTCAAACAAATGATCATGTGAAAATAAAGTTCAGTTTCTGCACTTTCTTTCCCAACTGTACCACTTCTACAAGGTATCTGAGCTGAGCACAATCCGATACTGACACCTGCTTACCAGATCATTTCACGTGTTAAATTAACATTAAATCTAACTATTTCAGATATTTTTTACTTTTAGATCAGAGCACAAAGAAGAATACCATCAACTTCTTCCTGAAGACTATCTGCACCTCCTAACTTGGTTTACAACAAATCATGTGCATTTTCACCACCAGGATAACACCATTTGGCGCCACATTTTGCTAATATTTTGCAGTAATTCATTAAAGGTACCATCTAATCATTTTTCTATCAAGACTGCAGAGATACATGGAGAGATTATAATGCAACAGATGGTATCATCTCACAGTAGACTTGCTATGATCTGGTAGTTGATCTTTAACAGTTTGATAAGAGCAGAAAAATAGGCGAAGGCAGTTCCTTTTCTAGGACATTTGATCACACTCCCTTAGTAAACAAACACACTGACAGAGATTAAAAGTAAACCTATTGGAAAAGTCGAACCTTGGACATTTGAGAGAGCATCCAGAAATTCCTATGCTGCTTTCCATTCATGTCAGAAGGGAGCTCACTGATACAAGCACGCAACACAAATCCTCGTACCAGGAACACTCTTAGCAATTTTATGGGTTACTTCATATTGTTTATTGACCGAGTATACTAGACATTCTTCTCCCAATCAACCACATATTTAGAAGACTCATGCAATTGTTTTTTCTCTAAATGGAAATCTCTCCGCTATTAATCAATGGTCCAAATCAATATTCTCAAGGACAAAAGGAAACACAATGAACAAGCCTAAGAAGCACTCAAATGGGAGACTTAAGAAATGTACCATATTAAAGGTAATTAATCCCCACAATGAGAACTGTATGGCATAACAGCCAAGACCATAACTTTCCTTAAATTACCATACATCATCATTTTAGAAATCACAAGCAAGGATTAGCATTAGCACCCAAATCAACACTGTTCGACTAGTGAGCCAAACATCAAATGTTTAAAGAAAAATAACCTTCACCAAGTAAAAACTCAGCTTTGAATGATTAAAACTCAAAACAAAAGTATGGATTTGATGTCAAGCTGATTAAAAGTTCTACTTTCCATAAATAAAACTCAACCAGATTGTTGATTTTATGTCAACCCACTTTTCCCGTTGCTGACTTTTGTGCACGCAACATTTCCATTGACAGGAACTGAAAACATCAATCCCCATCAGCTTCCTAACCCCTTTCCAAGTCATAACAAAATCCAATAAAATTCAATAACTGCCTTTTTCTTTCTATCCTATCAAGAAATAATTGAATTTTTCAATCTTTCCTTTGAATTTTCCCTATTTTTGGGTTGCAGAAAAGAAAGAAAGAAAGAAAAGCACTCTGTTTCAACTTCGCTTCAACAAAAGTAGCCAGCCATTTTCCTTCCTCCAAAATGCAAGATGGAAACAGAAAATCAAATCAGAAAGCCAGCAAAAATTCACAGACACAAGAACAATCATGTACTGTGACGAACCTACTTATTATGTCTGGAAACGCTTCAATGTAATAAGACAAGCAGCAACAAAAAAAGACCATCTAAGATTGAATTAATATAACAGCAGATATTGAATCAAAGCCATAATATTTCAATCTTTCTTTATTCCCAGCAAGAGGGGAGACAGGAGGTTCAAGAAGGCATTGACAACTCAAGATAAACATGAACAAGGGGAGACATATATACCTCAAGATTTCTTGCCATTTCGTTAGCAGAAACAAGAAAGTCCAACCACGAGAGAGAGCCAGAGAGGGTTGAGAAAGGCATGGAACGAGAAGAAGAGCTGCTCTATTTGCGGTTGACCACTCAGTACGAAGTGGGCTTGGTCGATCCAGGCTGTTGGGTTTTGCCTTGCCATCTGAAGACAGATCGGTCGATGTCATGTACAGTAAAGAGATGGAAGAGTCAAACCCAGTCAAATGCTATTCTTTGCTCGTGCTCTGCCCTTTCCACCGTTGCCCATGTTTGTAGCTGTCGGGAGACGTGGGCGGAGGGAAAGAAAAATTAAATAATTTTATATAAATTTTGGTCATTCATGAATAAATTAGTTAATTTAAGTTTGATTTTGATTATGAAATTTTGCTTAATATATACAATTAAAACCTCTTGATTTTTTTTTTAATTGCAATATTTTGGAATAAGAGTATAAGACTGTATTTTTATCTCAATTTCTTTTTTTTTTTAATCTTGTCTTTTTCACAAACTGTGCACCTCCTCTTCCTTATTTTATTTTAAATTTTGGAATATCAAATATGAAGTCCTCATCCAGGGTAAAAACAGCATGCTCGAAAAGCCTTGACAGGGTACCTTTTATGAGAGACATGGCTAAGCTTTGTCCTGCTTAAGCCTATCAATGTAAAATGCTATTTTAAAAAGTTAAATTAATAAAATAGTATTTTAAATAATATAAATATAAATTATTTTACCATATTTATTTTAATAAAACAAATTATTTAAAAAATTATTTATATTAAAGTGAAAAAAACAAGTATTTTATTATTTCTTAATATATTTAATGTTATTTTTTTCACATATCTATATTTAATTAGTCTATTTTTTTAGTAGTTCTACTTTGTTAGTTTTGACTCTTTGAAAAAATACATAAAAATAACATTGGTAAATTTAATTAGTCTATTTTTTTAGTAGTTCTACTTTGTTAGTTTTGACTCTTTGAAAAAATACATAAAAATAACATTTGTAAAAAAAAAAAGATATTTTAGCATTTTATTTGATTTTCTCTCTGGATATTTTAGCATTTTATTTGATTTTCTCTTTAAAATGTGCAAAATAAACAAAGAAAAATTAAAATATTATTTTTTTTATTTTTCATTATCCATGAAAATCTTCCCTCACTTTAATCTCATATGCTTTAGTTAACTTCCTCAAGAAAAGGGTGGTTTTTCTTGTTTTGTAAGGAAGTGTTGTGAGACTTTATATTTTTTTTTAAGTTTTAAATTTTTTAAATTTAAAAAAGATTATTTTTATATTTTTAAATTATTGATATTAAAAATAAATTTTAAAAATAAAAATATTATTTTAATATTTTTTTAAATAAAATAATTTTTACTTTACTGTCACACAGGTACTCATTATGATAGCACCCAATTTTGATAGCTTCATAGTTATGATTTTAAAAAAATATTTTATAAAAAAATAGTTTTAAGTTATTGTTAGTTGAATTAAATTATATATTTGATTAAAGTTATTTTTAAAATTGTTATTAAATAAAAAAGAATTTAAAAATTTTAGTTAAAACTTATATTAAAAGTGATAATAATAATAGTATAACTTCAAATTATATAAGAAGATTGTGATATAATAAATATAGCAAAACAACATTAAAATCCTAGTTAAAAAAATACTAATAATAAATGTATCAATTGCAAAGTTAGTACAAGTAATGTAATTATTATTATTATTATTTATACATGTACTAAATACAAACCACACATTACTGTGCAAATATGCTATACATTTGTAATTTGGCACCTTCAAGATCAGAAACTTCATAGTGACTCGAGGCTTGAAAAGAAATCAATGGAGGATAAACTGAATCTTACTCTCTTTTTTTGTAATATATTTCAGAACATGCACTTCATACAATAAGCCATTCAAGAACAGGAGACGCAACAGGATTTCTAGACCAATTTTACTTTCTGATTTTCACCACTTTCTTTAATTTGTTCTTCAACATCAGAGTGTTTGCTTTTTATTACCTTTTAGAAATCCAACGATCCATGGAGGCGCAGTATTAACCTCTTCATTCTTCATGAGGTCTTTTTCAACCTCTGCTGGAGTCACTTCCACTTCCATTACCAATACTTCAACCTCTGCAAAATCAGAGCGCTTGTGTGTTTTGTAACCAAGAAGTTGGTTAGATCCATGGAAAACTTACCCAGATCTCATTGGTCGTTGTTGACAAGAAGCAAATATCTTCTTAATATGCGGATCTCCTTGGCAGCTGCATGCGAGGTTTAACTCTAATGGAAAACAATACAAGCTCTAGGGGAGATGAGTCATTTCTCAGATGCTTTAGTGATTTAAGGGAGATGAGGGTATTTTTGTTAAATGGATGGATGAGTTTATAACGGTAAATGAGAAACAGATTTCTAATGAATGAAAAGCTACAATTTTTTGCTTTTCTAAATACATTTTTTTATTGGGGGATTACCAAACCACACATCAGAAATTAACCAAATGGTTTTTGGTATCGTGGTTGGGCAAAACGCAACACTAATCACACTATTAAATATATACTTTATTTTAATTATAAATGTTATGAGTTTAGAGGATCAAACCGTGTAGATTAATCTAATTTTTTTTCTTTTTAAATAGTATCAGAATAGTTGGAATGATAAAAAAAAAATTAAAAATTAATAAATTTTGACCTATTTTTTATCCTAGATCACAAGTAAATTTAAGTTTTTTATTAAGTCAGATTGGGATTTTTTTAAATTTATTTAATTTATAATATGAATTAGTTTAGGGATCAGATCATTCAACTAAGTTGGTCCGATTAAGGAATTTTTATCCAGAAAAGTGAATTACCATATTATTACTTATTTTATTCACACCTTTATGTTTAATATAAATTTCTGAAGTGAAACACATAGGTAACTTGTGTTGTTTTGAAGTGGAATTAATGACAAAGGTTGGGGTTTAATTATCATGATCCGACGATGGGTGGTTGGTTGACAAGGAATCCAATGGTGGATATAGCTCTAAAAAATTGATCCCGATATGGCTAGAAGAGGATATATATCTAACACATCTAAAGTGGTCTTAAAACCTTTTTTTTTCTTCTTCTTAAATAAGCCTATGTTAAGATATAGATAATTGAAAATAGGGTGTTTATACTTTTTAAATAAAAATAAAAGGGAAGGAATAAAATAAATTAAAGTTAAAATGAGAAATGAAAATAAAATAAAATTGATCAGAGCCTGAACAAATAGGATATATTTAAATAAAAAATAAAGTAAATTAAATTAAAAATACCTAAAAAAATTATCTCTTAGAATTCAGATTTGAAATTAGTCATTTTTTTTTATATTTAAAACTCATAGTTGAATAGAAATATTTTTTAAACAAATGGAAAAATAAGCTAATTTAATATAAAAAAATGTTGTTGTTCGTGGCCTATATATAGATGCTAAAGTGGAGTAAAATGAAAGGAGCAGGCGTACTAAGCAAAGCGAAGAATAACGACAACATCTACCTTTCTTTGATTTTTTTTGCAAAGTTTATCATGATTATGTTTGATGGATTAAGTAATTTTGAATTATGACAGAGGAAAGTGAATGATTCATTGGTGCATCAGGGCATAATGAAAACATTACATGAAAAAGAACTAAAAGACATGAATCATATAGATAGGTAAAAACTAGAAGCAAGAGTTGTGGCAACTATTAGGATCTGTCTAGATAATGATATGACTTATCATGTCATGGATGAGGAATCATTGGTGTCAATTTAGGCAAAACTAGAAAGTTAATATATGTTCAAGTCATTGTCAAACAAACCTTATCTTAAACACAAATTATTTGGTCTTAAGATGCTAGAAGGCATATATTTGAATCAACATATCAATGTGTTCAATTATATCATTAGTGATTTGAAGCAAATTTATGTGAAGTTCAAGGGTAAAGACAAGGTATTGATGTTATTGAATTCTCTATCAACATCTACATATAAAATTTTGGTTACAACTCTGATGCGAGGGAAAGAAACTCTCATATTAGAAAAGATCACAAGTTCCATATTAAGCTATAATCTAAAGAAGAATGGTGGTGATAAAAACTCACAAGGTAAAGGGCTGGTGGTGAGGAGTAATCAAAAGCACGGGAGAAACAAGTTTCGAAACGAATCAATGAACAATAAAGCTGGTCCAAATCCAGGAAGAGGAAGGATAAAAAAATGTTATAATTATGGAAAAATAAAGCCTATAAAACAAGAATGTCTAAAGAAAAAAAAGAGATATAAAGAACAAAGAAAGGTCATTAATGTTCATGAATGTAGTAGAAGAAAACCCAAAAAACGGTGACAAAGACATGCTTTCTATTCCATCTAATTTAGAGCATCTTATAAATTTTTAGTTATTTGATTCAACATCTTTTTATCATAAAAAACCCATTAAAGATTGGTTAGACACCAACAAGTTAATCAATTCTGGTTTTGTTCTAATAGGTAATAATAATCCATATAAATTTCTTAGAATAAGAATATCAAAATTAAAATGTTTGATGGTATTGTTAGAACTTTATGTGATGTTAGACGTATACTAGATTTGAGAAAGAATCTGATTTCATTAGGCATTTTAGACCATAAATGGTTTAGTTTCAAGTTTGAAGGTGAAGTACTAAAAGTAAGTAAAGATGTTATGATAGTTATGAAAGAAAATAGATTGTTAGGAAGTATTTATGGACTATTAGATACCACAATTATAGGTGGAGTTGAAATCATATAATCTGAGTTAAATAACAGAGTATTACAGCTCATGCAATTAGGCCATATAGATGAGCATGAAATGATGAAGCTTCATAAAAAGAATCTAAAGGATTTCAAAATATGCGAACTTGATTTTTATAGGTATTATGTTCTTAGAAAATAGAATAAGGTGTAGTTCAAGACAACCACACACAAGAAATAGAAGATTCTTAATTATATTCATATAGATGTTTGGGGTTTAATAAGGGTAGCATTACGTAAAAGATATATGAATTTCATGATTTTTATTTATGACTATTCATGAAAGGTTTGAGTGTACTTTATGCAAAATAATTGAGCAAATTTTGATAAGTTCAAGGTATGGAAAAGAAATGTAAAAAACCAAACAATAAGGAGAACCGGATGACTTTGGTTAGAAAATGGTACCAAATACATAGACTAGAAGTTTATGGAGTTGTGTGAGTAGCAGGGGATCAAAAGACACTTCATAATATATAAGACACCACAATAGAATGGTG